TGGGACCCAGCCCTAGCCCTCGGGTTGAGAGCTGTCAGGCTGGCTTAGCTGACTCTGCCTCCTGGGTGTGGGCTCCATTGCCCTCCTGCACCACCCAGCGCTGGGGCAGCCTGCCTGCTTCCTCCTCTGGGTATGGTCTGGATCCCTCTCATGGAATCTTTCCAAAGAAGCCATTGAGCAGGACTCCACTGGGTGAAGGGCCCAGCCTTTGGGGAAGCTGCCTCTGCCTCGGGGTGCCAGACAATGTACGTTTCTGGTGCTGCTCTCCATTCTGTCAGAAGGGGCAGGGTCCCAGGCGTGGCCCCGGGCCTCCTCTGAGAGAGAACGGCACTGACTCTGGGCGCTCCACTGTGCAAGGACTTCGCATGTACTCTCCTGGCGCTGTGTGGTTCCAAAGCTGTGCTTTTAACCACCCATCAACCCTATGCATTCTTTGAAAGGGTTTACTGTATATAATACACAGGATTTCGATAGAGAGAGAGAGGGAAAGTATCTGTAAGAATCTGGCATGGAAAGACAAGCACCATAATCCTCTCCCAGGCTCAACCAAATTCCATTCTGAAGTGTTTATTGTCCTTAATAAGGCAAGAGCCATATGTATTAAAAAAAAAAAGAAAATCAGTAAGTCACCACAGCTAAGAGATGGGAGTGCAAAGGGGGAGTGGAACAAAGCCTTTTGCAGCAGTTCACAAAGGCCAGGGGCTGGCGTGGTGAGGCAGTTGGAGGTGGGAGGCCTGGCTCACCATGATCCTTCTCCTCAGTGGCATGACTAGATGTCACTTACCCATTTATCCACTGCCCCGTCGGTATGCCCAGCGTGTCTGCAGCACATCTTCCTCCCTGGCCGCTCTTGGGTCTGCCACTTCTGAGGGCACACACACTCCCTGAGCACTCTGGTGGGTCAGTGTGTACAGCCCCGAGGATGTCAGCCTTGGGTTCAACATCTGCTCAGCTTCAATCACACGAAAGATCATCCATGGGTGTGTAAAGTTCATCTGTCCCAACTCAGAGCACTTCTCCCTACCTCTACCACTCCCATCATCTCCTGCCTAGGTTACAGCAAGGGCCTCCACACTGGTTCTCTGTTCCTGATCTCGCCCCTTGCAGCAGCCAGAGGGAGCCCTTTAAACTATGTCAGTTTATGCCACTCCTCTACTCAAAACCCTGCAGTGGCTCCCTGTTGCAGGCAAAGTAAAAGCCCAAGACCTTACAATGGTTTATAAGGCCCTGCATTATCCCCTGCATCTCCCCCGCCTTTCTGACCTCATCTCCTGCTGCTCTCTCCCTCGCTTACTCTGCTCCAGCCAAGCCGGTCTCCTTGCGGTTCCTTAAACATACCTAGCATGCTCTTGCCTCAGGGCCTTTGCACCTACCACTTCCTTTGTCTGAAATATTCTTCCCCCAGATATCGACATGACTTGCCTCTTCACTTGTTTCTGGTCTCTGAAATGTCACCTCCTCAGAGAGGTCTTCCCTAAACAGTCCATCTAAACTCTGAAGTACATGTATACCTGTTCTACCTCCTTACTTTTCTTCCTATAACTTATCATTCCCCCACTAGAAAGTTAAGTCCTTATACAGGCTTCACTTGCCTACAACAGTGTCTGGCACATGGTTGGGGCTCAGTAAATACTTGCTGAACAAATGGAAAAAATGTAAACAAATGAATTTTTAGCCAAAGTTCAGCAACCACTCAATGTCTATTAAGGCTCAGAGGAATATTTGATTCTGCCTTTCATTCGCTCTTCATTTAATCATTTAATTGTCTTCATTAGGAGCTTTCATGCATCAAAGAGGTGCACTGAAAAAATGAGGTCTGAAAACGACAGTGACACAGACCTGGCTGAGGCCATAGCCACTTGCTGGGCATGCTCAGAACTTTATCCGCCTCACTGATGTGTCCTCTGTCTCCACTGTCCTTTCATAAAACTCCCCACCTGTCTTAGTCATCTACTGCTGCTATAACAGAAATACCACAAGTGGATGGTTTTAACAAAGAGAAGTTTATTTCCTCACAGTCAAAGTAGACTAGAAGTCCAAATTCAGGGCGTCAGCTCCAGGGGAAGAATTTTTCTCTGTTGGCCTTCTTCTCTTCGGTGTTCCCCTCAACTAGGAGCTTCTCTGCGCAGGGACCCCAGGTCCAAAGGACGCGCTCTGCTCCTGGCACTGCTTTCTTGATGGTATGAGGTCCCCAATTCTCTGCTTGCTTCCCTTTCCTTTTATCTCTTGAGAGATAAAAGGTGGTGCAGGCCACATCCCAGGGAAACTCCCTTTATATTGGATCAGGGATGTGACCTGGGTAAAGGTGGTGTGTGTTACAATCCCACCCTCATCCTCTTTAACATAAAATTACAATCACAAAATGGAGGCCAACCACACAATTCTGTGAGGCCCAGACAAATTGATATACACATTTTTGGGGGGACATAATTCAAACCATGACACCACCCCACTTTGAGGGTCATGCCGTATACCTACTCCATCTTCTACTCCTCATTTTCTGCATCTGTCACTGCAGACCTAGCTCAGGCGTCCAATCTTCCTCTGCTCCCAATTCTGCAGCAACCTGGGGGCCTCCAATACTTATGTAGCAGCTTCTCCTCTCAGTTCCTGACTCGTGGACTCTAACAAATGCAACAGCTTCCCTAATAAACCAACAAATGCAACACTTGGTTGAATTTCAGACCACATCCTGTCCTCCCATTGCAGCCTGCACAGCCCCAACCATTTAAACTCTCCACTTCTGTATTTGTGCAGCTGAATGATACTAGGGAAAAACACCCCTCACAACCAGCTCACAGTGCCCCCTGCAAATTCAGTTTGACTCCACTTGGGAGCTTCAACATTGCTCAGCAGCCCTTCCTTGGGTTCTTGGCCAGCTCACTCTTTCCAATTTTTCTCAGTGGCTTCTCCAAACTGTATTTTTTCTGAGTTTCTGACCCACTGGCTTCTGCCTCATACTCACAGACCACTCTGCCTCCCATCAGGGTCACTAGGTGATAATCACTTTATTCCATTAGCATTCTGGAACCTATCCATCTGCCCTCACTCTTTTCTCTTTCCTTTCTGTCTTAGAAGACAAGGTGTCCCTATTGCTGACCAAAGCTGAGCTGGGGATCCCACCTCCCCTACTCTTTTGGGATCCACTATAGCATTCACCTGCGCCTCCCCAGCCACCTTGTCCTCTACTGACACCATCCCTTAGTGTGGTGTGATTACTTTTGTGTGTGTCCTTTCTAGCCATGGTCTTTTAACTCCCACCCAGGTGACAGGGCGGGCCTGTGCGATAGGGTAATTGTGGCCCACCAAGGGGACTGGTCAGTTTTGCCTTAAAAGAGAGCCAATTCCAGAGCAGAGAGGAGGATCCTACATCATCAAGAGCAACCAGGAGCAGAGTGTGTTCTTTGGATCCTGGATCCCTGAGCTGAGAAGTTCCTGGAAGCAGGAGATCGAGAGAGTGAGAACAAGCTGTAACCCTGAAGACGGTGAGAAGTGGTGCCAGGAGATACCTGGCAGCAGGAGACAGCGCAGTGGGCTTCCCAGCCCACAGAGAGAGAAAGCTGAGTGCCTTTGGGGAGAGGCCTGGAGCCAGGGAGAGGCGTGCCTGTGAGCGCCGTTGGTAAGAGGCCATCCTGATGGAAGAACTGTATCCTGAGTGTTCTTGAGACTGAATTAACTGTTGCTTCCCTACTAAACCCCACAATTGTTGAGTATGGTCTTCTGTGAGTTGTGTGTGGCCACTGCAATGAATTATTGAACACAACAGAGAAGTAGAGGGTGCTGTGGGAGGGACGGTTGGTGTCAGAATTGGTAAAGATGGCGGAGAAAGGAAGTATGTCTGACCGCTGCCTCATAGGAATCAGCCTTGGGCTGTTGATCTTGATTCTCCTTCCCCCTTGTGGGAAGCCATTTTTACACTCAGCATCTTTAGATCTCTCACCCTTGTGAGTGCCCTCATCTGCTTCCCTTCAGAGCCAAGAAAGAGCCATCCACACCCACCTTCTCCGTTTCCTCACCTCCAATTTATTCTTCAACCTATTTCTTCTGCGACTCTCCCTGACTCCACCACACACAGATGCGGGTCACCAAATTGCTACAACAAATAGGCCTTTCCTTGGTGTTACTAGCTCTCCTCCCTCCTGCAAAGTCTCCTTAGTTTTCCTCTTACCTGCCTGGTATTCCTCTCTTAGGCTTTGTGGTGCAGTGAATTATTTAATATGGCCCTTCTAGCCATAGTCTTTGTAACTTGCACCAAATGATGGGGTGGGACTATGTAAATAAGGTGCTTGTGGTCACCAAGGGGACTGGATAGCCTGCTAATAGTGTAAATAAGGTGCATGGCACCCTTGTCGGGGAGTGGGACCATGCAAATAAGGTGTATGGAATTCTAATGAGGGGATTGGTCAATTTTGCTATCCTGCCAGGTTTAAAAGAGAGCCAATCCCAGAGCAGAGGGGGACTCACTACCACCAAGAAAAGCTAGGAGTGAAAGATGTCCTTTAGACCCAGAATCCCTGTGCTGGTAACCTCCTAGATCCAGGAGACAGAGAGAGAGAGAGCTGTTAACACCAGAGATGGCAAGAAGCAGCAGAACCAGTGGGCTCCCTGGCCCACGGGCCAAGAACACTGAGCGCCTTCGGACAGGAGGGTGCTGGTGGAGTGGGGTGCCTCTGGGCACTTCTTGGCAGAGGTAGGCTTGCCAAGCCACAAAGCAAGAGAGCTGAGTGGCTTTGGGCCAAGGCTTACTGGTGGAGTGGGGTGCCCCCTGACACTTATTTGTGGAGCTAAAGAGCTTTGTAACACTTGCCCAAGCAGGACAGAGGCCTGGCCGAGAGACCAAGGGCCAGAGAAAGGCCTACCTGCAGGCACAGCTGAGAAGAGGCTGTCTTGATGGAAGAACTGTATCCTGAGTGTTCCTGAACCTGAACTGTAACCTATTATTCCCTAATAAACCCTATAATTGTATGATCTGTGAGTTCTGTGTGGCCATTGCAATGAATTATCGAACCCAGCAGTAGAAAAGTGCAGTGGGAGAGACAGATGGCATCAGAATTGGTGAAAAGGTTGGAGGGCAGAGGCATGTCTGACCTCCACCGCATAGGAACCAGCTTTGGGTTGATGCTGATGGTGAGTCTTCCTCCCTCTCGTGAAGTTAGAGGAGGTCAGACGCTACCCACTGTATTTTCACATTGGCTTTTTTTCCTCCAGCAGCCTGTGAGTACTGGTATTTCTCAAGATTCTGACCCTGACCTTCTCTATATACCCTCTCTGAAAGGCCTCATCCCAATCCAAGGGTTCCATCCCATTACTACACTGTTGGCCCTAAGCCTGTTTCTAGGCCCAGATCTCTTTGCTTCGCTTAGCTCCATTCTAGTTTATTCAGCTGCTAACTGGACATCTCCATTTGGGAATCTTCAGGCAGCTCAAAGTCAACCTGATCAAAATCCAACTCATCTTCTTCCCCCATCATACTCTCCATCTTGGCAAGTGGTACCACTACTTCCCATTCACCCTAATTCAGAAACATCAAATCAACCTTTTATCCTCTTGCCCTGACCTGTAAGTCCTGTTGATTCTGCCTCCCCACTGATGCTTATATGCATCCTCCCACTTCATTGATTCAGGCCTCCCTCATGGCTCATCCAATTTATGCCAGCAGACTAACCCCTCTCCTGGCCCTTTTCCAATCCAGCTTCCACTTGGCTGCCAACTTTGTCATCCTACAATACAAATCTGATCACATCACTCCCCTGCTTTAAATCCTTCAATGACTGGACAGCACTTGCCACAGCCCACTGAGATTATTTTACTCCTTTCTCCTCTTCAGGTTGCTGGAAGCATCTAGGGGACAGAGACAATGGTCTGTTTCTCCAATGCCTAGCACATGCCTGGCACACAGCAGGTGCTCAATAAATATTTCAGTGGAAGGATTCCAAGTCTCTCCAGATGCCACTTGGATGTGTTAACAGCAGAGTAGGGCAGTGGTTAAGACAGGCAGACCTGGCAAGTTTGAATGCCAGCACTGCCAACTTCCAGCTAGTTGGCCTGAAGGTTTCTTACCTTTTGTCCGCCTCAATTTCCTCAACTGTAAAATTAGGATAATACCACCTACCTTACAGAGAATGAGATAACGTACATAAGGAGCTTAACAGGGAGAACACAAAACCACCAAACCAGCTGTAATCAAGTTGATTCTGACTCACGGCGACCCCATGTGTTTCAGGATAGAACCGTGCTCCGTTGGGTTTTCAATGGCTGAGTGTTTGGAAGTGGATTGCCAGGCCTTTCTTCTAAGGAACCTCTGGGTGGATTTGAATTGCCAACCTTTCAGTTAGCAGCCAACACTTAACCATTTGCACCACGCAGGGACTCCTAGCAGAGAAGCGCTCAATAAATGGTTGCTATTATTACTAATTATAGTAACCATCAGTTAAACATCAAGGTTAGAAAGAATCCTGGGATGTTGATGCTAGAACTACTGAGGCTCCAAGAGGCAAAGTGACTTCCTCCTAGTCACAAATTTAGTCAGTGGCAAAAATCAAACTTGGAACCCAGTATCAATACAATGTAACTTGCCATTAAGCTGTCAGCTGTTCAGTGGAGTTGCTCTACAGAATAAAGCAAAAGTGCTTTGTGAGCCACAATGTACAGACTGTAGATGTAGATCATACACGCACCTGGCACACTGTATACATGAGTGTTTGCCTCTCTAAACTTGAACTTGGGCTACTATGCCCTGGCGGCAGGTTCCCAATTACAGTATGGTTGATCTTTTCTGAAGTCAACTATGATCATCTGTTAGAACTAGAAATCAAATGATACCTCCCTGGAGCCTTCGCTCAATCACTGATTCTTACGGGTGGAAGGAGTGGCAGTACTATCGCCTGAAATTTCAAATCACACACCCTCCCCCCTTCTGAGACCCTTTATCGAGCCCTGGTGGCACAGTGCTTAAGAGCTTGGCTGCTAACCAAAATGTTGGCAGTTCAAATCCACCAACGGCTCCTTGGAAACCCTACGGGGCAGTTCTACTGTCCTATAGGGGCACTATGAGATGGAATTGACTCGACTGCAATGGGTTGTTAAGTGAAGTTTTAGACTCACAAGTTGGGGAGGATACGGTTCTCACACCCTTTGCCCCTTCCCTCTCTCACCTGCAGAAGGGGTCTATCAGCAATAGAAAACATCATTAGGCTCTGAAAAGAATGAATATTATTAGTAAGAGATTTTGTTTTGTCATGTACATGTTTCAATCAGAAGGACCTTAGATTTAAGACAAAACAGTACTTGGTTCGGACTCAGGTAGTGATATACAATGGGTGGTGCCTGTGGGACAGCAGCTAGAGGAAGCCGGGACCTTGGGAACAGGAAAGGAAGGAGACTCAAGTACAGGAGATCTCCAGGCACCCTGGCAAGGTGGGCTGCGCTCTGACCAGAAGGTGTGATGAGGGGAAAGGATACGTCTGCAAGGTTCCTCTGGTCTCCCAGGTGCCCCTTGGTGAGCAAAAGTAAGGCTGAGTGCTTCCAGCATTGAACTGAGTGAGGCCAGGTGCCTTTCTGGACGTAGGGGTGGGGGTGGGTGGAACCTAAGAGCCCGTTTACCAAGACACAAAGCCAGGTTAGTCTCAGCCAACAAGTACCCTAAAAACTGAAGCCAACTGAGAATTTTCCCGCCGTCTTCCCAGTCTACTGAGAACAGTGTCATCAGGACTTGCTTTCCTGTGCATTCCCACTCTCTGGCGTGGTCTCTCTGGACTCGCACCTACAGCTGTATGAGGGCACCTCTTTGAAACAGTCCTCAGCATTATGTATGTTGGGCTCAACAGGAGCCAACTTGCTCTGTGCTCAACAGCTGCCTGTGCAAGCAGATCCTGCGATGCAGGACATGCCACCAAGGTCGTGTCTGGGTCCGGTCTGTCTGCAAGAAATTCCTTCTATAGGCAGCCATGACCGTGACTCTGGGCCCTGGAACCAGCCCAGCCACTCAAGAGGGCACAAGTCCTGATGTTTACATGGAGTCTGCATTCTCCCAAGACACTGAACAGACAGTAACCCCAAAGAGAAGCCAGGCCAGTGACTCACCTTCCCGAGATGACAATGTGTATCACTGAGGAGGAGCTGGCAGCAGCGACCAGGGTGGTGTCATTGACACACGTCCTCCCCTGCTGTCCCTCCCGCAGGCCCCCTCTGATTCACTCTCATTACACACCCTCTTGTGTGAGGGTGCCTGTATGGCTTGGGGTGTCCTTTTGGGTGTGCTCACTGATTTGTGGTAGGGACGAGGACAATGCACTCGAGCACAGGGGTTACACACAAAGGCTCAGTCAGTGCTTCTCGACGAGTTCCAGAACACAAAGGCCCCAGCTAGTGCCAGAGACCCTGGGAGCCCCTTTACACAACTATAGCCCACACAAGACCTGCGACAAAGCTATGGAACATAAAATTAACAATCCCACACAATTGTTCTTACATTATAAAATTTTATCAAACGAGTTAATTTGCGTTTTTAGAAGCTTGGGTCGGCAGGGTGAAAGAAGACTAAAAATCATTAAAAACAGTTTAAATTCTTTTTTAACCTCAGAGGAACCTGAATTAAATAAGTCCTCAGGAAAGAGACTGATTTCCTAAATTAGAAAAGTTGGTTTCCAAGCTATGCTCTCTTACCTCTATTGCTTGTAGCCCTAAGGAGAACTAAACCTCACCAGGGATGGTTCCTCTGGAAGTTACTGTGGGAAGAACAAGCAATATCCAGACACAGGCCAGGTGGAGACTCTGAGTCAAAGGGACAGAGTCTATGACATGTAATGTGACCATACAGTTTAGCATCCAAACCAGGATACTTCTGACAGGGAAAGATGGTGCTATCAGTTACTCAAGGATAAACGGCATGAACTGGGACACGTGGCCACCCTAGTGACGAGGCAGTTGGGAAAATTACATTTCCCAGTATGCCTTGTCCCTTGAACGTCAAAAAGCTTGACTGTAGCAAAGCACCCTGGGACCCGTAGTTAGCACCACTTAAGAGGTAAACAGTATAGGGCTGGGTTCTGACGTGGAGGGTTCCCACTTCCAGGGGACACTTAACCAGACACAGAACTCAACATCTGAGGCGAAGTCTCAATCGATATTAAGTCTGGGGAGCCTGCCTAGCTCCCGACGGTGTGGAGCTGGTGGAGCTGTCCATTGGTACATTGCCTGTCTCTCTTGGGTGCTGCTTCTACCTCCCCACATCACTAGCGTCCCCACTGCTGCTAGTCTTCTGGGGGGTTCTGGGCCAGGTGCTGTTCCCATTCCACTTCAACCAACTTATACAGCTCCATGGTGGCCTGGGCGTCTTCCACAGAGGAATGTCCACTTTTCCCAACCTGAATAAGGAAGGAAGAGAAGAGGATAAGGCTGTAAAGGATTCTCCACCCCCTCAGTCATACCCCAACGCACGCATACATGCACGCTCTTCTGCAGAGTTAGTGGCCTATGAAGATGATTCTGGCGGGGCCCTGGTCCCGCTCCTTAACAGCCTCTGTTACAGTCTACTTCCATCCTTTCTGTGGCAAAATGTGTATGCCGTATCATTCTACGTTCTGTAGAGACAGAACATAGCAGGTCTTCTTTTAGCTGCCTCTCCCAAGGGGTCCTGGCCCTTAGCTCTGGGGGTCTGGGAAGCAGGGAGTCTGTAAAGGCTGGTGTTTCTCTACAACTGACGAGAAAACAGAAGCTCTCAGAGCTGGAAAGGATGGTGGGGAATCATGGAGTTCAACACGAGGAAGGAGTCCCTCCCCAGTAACATCTAACAGCAGGAGGTCACCTTCTTTTTTTCTAATTGCTCTCTATGTGCTTTGTATGTCCACACCCTCCTGCCAGGCCGGGCGCCCCTGTTTTGACCGCCAAACACGTAACATACATAAGAGGTGCTTGCATCATGATGGGGTCTTTTGGACCACTGCCAACATCTGATTTCCTCTTTCTTAGTTAGAGTTTTATGTCCACTTAAGGTTTTTTTTCCTTTTCCAAAGTGCCCTTCAGCTATCACCTCATTTAGTCCTCAGGAAACTCTATGAAGTAGAGAACAGGAATTACTATTCCGGATAATGTACAGATGGAGAGAGAACACTGGGCCCCTAAGCCCAAAGCTCCTCCCATCAGAGCAGCCCACCCGGATCTCCACCACCAGAGGAACTCTGGGGTCAGAGCCTAGGGCGAGGAAGCAATGAGAGCCTCCACAGCACCCACGCCAGGGGCCTGGCAGCACTTGGGGAGAGGCTACCTGAATGTCCCGGTTCAGCAGCTTCTGCGTGAGACGTTTCAGAGACATGGTAGTATTCTCTGGACAGTCGGCCTTCCGGTTGAGGAGGGGGATATGGGAGGTGTCGCGGGTGAGGGACTTGGGGTGAAAGTACTGGAGGGCTTTGAAGTCGTTGTGGATGGCATGTCCCACCACTATCTTCCCTGTGAGTATCTTCAAGATCTGAAATAGGCGTGGATGGAAAAGCAGTGAGGAGGACGACTCCAAGGTGGAGCCCCATGTCCTCACAGCTCAACATGGTCATCGGCTCTTCTAGGTTCTTTTCCCCAACTGCCTACCTACCTCATTGTTGAACTGCCATCTCCCCTAAGTTCTCCTTCTCCCAAAACCCACCTCCTTTCCTCCAAGTAAAAGCAGGTAATTTCCACAGGGTAGCCCTGATTGGACCTACACTGCCAGTGGCTCCTTTCTTCCTGTTAATTTCCACTCCAATGACAGACTAATTTGCTTTCAGTCCTGAATCATACACATTTGAAATGTTCATGTAACTACTTCAGGACTGGTTTGCTACCTGGCCACATAGAAGTCCTTTATCTGTTATCATTATGCTGGCCTTAGACATGTGACTCATGGAGTCAAAGATGGGTTCCAGAGAGGTAACGGAAGCTCAAAATTACATGCACATACGTATATGTCGCAATGAGTCGGAATCGACTCGACGGCAATGGGTTTAGGTGTGTGTATAGGTATTTTGGCAAGGAAGAGGATCTGTGCTTTCATCAAATTCTCAAAAGGTTTACAAGCTCATAGAAGATTAAGAATCACTTATAGACTGAGGCCGCGGAGGGAAGTGATCAGGTTACCCACGCCCCTGCTGCTTTAACAGAAAGCCGGTCCCTCTGCTTACAGCTCCTCCTGCTCATACCCAGAGCACAATTACCTGTTGCTCAGGAAACTCAGTCACACTAGTTTTGGAACCAAATAATGTCTTAATGTTTCAGAAACTTCAAGTGTGAGGACATATCACCAATGAGGGCAATCAAAGAAAATGCCATGGGCTCTGAAGGCCATTACCAACATGGGGTCCCACACAGGTTGTGAACAAGAGCAAAAGTCCTGGAATAAGTGCTTGGCCTCCCAAGGGGACTACTCTGACGGGGCCAGACTCATTTGGATGTAGCTTAGTTTTACAACCCCAACTTGGGAATTGTGGAAGTGCTTTATAATAAAGTTTAGACATAGTCCAATCAGTTATTTTGTTGCTACCGACTTCACCTATAGTTCACCGTCTACCACCACCCTTTAAACTCAACATATACCAAACCAAGTCCACTGCCGTCAAGTCGATTCCGACTCATGTGCCATCAAGGCTCCCCTCAACACACAGCCCTCATTAAAGGTGAGTAGGTTTGCTGTCTCACACCCACCGTTTTTGCCCCTTCCCAGCCTTTGCTCAAGCTGTGCCCCTTAGGCACAAGGTGTTCTTCAGCTTTTCCTTCTAAGTCCTTTCTGAAAACTAGCCACTTCACTGCTGATGAACCTCCCCCAACTGTCCTGGCATATAAAGAATTCTTGGAACTGAGCGTGTCTAGAGATGACAAAGAAAAAGGAGTTGAAATAGCAAAGAAGTGGACCAAGGGCGCCCTCTGGAGCCCTTCCAAGGTCAGCAGGCTCCTCTTTCTCCCCACTCCTCCACCTTCCTTCCCAGTTCATTTGTGATGCTCCCAGCATCCAGCACGGGCCTTTTTTCTTTTTTCTAGCAAAGAGATTTTTATATCTTTGTTTTCATCTCCTTCAGTGCAGGGCAACTGGCCCAGTTATGCAAATATGCCCCAGTTCCTTCTGTTAACTTTCTACCTTCACCGCCTCAGGCTAGGAAGCCCTCTCCATCTCTCCGCTCTCAGCCAGAGGCTCCAACTCTACCAGGCATTACCACATTGCGCCCGTTCACCCGGCCCCCAAGTCTGCTGCTCTGTCCAGTTTCATCACTGGCTGTTATTTCTCTATGCAGATTCCCACTTGCCCAGATCAGGATTCCACCTGGGACCTAAAATAAGTGGGCTAATAAAGTCTAGTCAATGAAAACGCTACAGATCACAACAATCATGGGGATGGCGCAGGATCGGGGAGCGGTTCCTTCTGTTGTGCATGGGACTGCTGAGTCCGGGGCCAGCTCAACAGGCAGCTAACAACAACAACAAATGAAGTCTGTTACACCAACGGATCGTAACCTTCCTGCCTTTCATCACAACTCACCCTAACAGAAAACCTTCTTCATCATCTAGCACTCCTCTCCCTCCTTCGACAATCCTTTGGCACCTTCCCAGGGTGATATCGTTTGCTGAAAAATGACTGGGACCTCTCCCCACCCACCTTACTGACAGCAGCATGCCCCAGGCCCCTCACCTGGCTCCGAGCAATCTTGAAGGGTGTAGCATTCACCATGTGCTGCTTCCGGATACCACTCCACCTGGTCCGGTAGTCCACAATGTGGCAGGGGGGAAGGATGTACTCATCATAAAGCACGTCACCATCGTAGCTGACAATGCTACATCGAGCCAAGGAACTGACATGTCCCTTGGGCCCTGTGCCCACCATCTCACAGTCAACTGCCACCATCTTCCTTGGCATCTCCTGGGATACTCCAGGGCAGTTATTCTCTGAGTGAGCTGGAGTGGAGTTCTGGGAGGCATTCTTCTGAGGGGGGTTCTTCTGCGGATGCTTTTTCTGGGAGCAGACTAGGTGGGTCTTAATCTTTGGAAGGGCACTCTGGAACTCCCCCAGCAAATCTACTTTAGCTGCAACAGAATGACCCTCCTGTGAAGGGGCAGGGGTCAGCCAAGGCACTGTAGCTTTCTTGTCCAGGGACTGCTCTGATCCACTGCTGGAGGCGGCTGTCTTTTTCTTTTTTGGGAGAGGAGGGACCTTCCAAGTGCCATCGACTTTAGCAGTCTCCTCTTTCTTTGGAGAGTCTGAGTGCAACCTAGCCACCTTGCCAGGGGGCTGCTTTTTCTTACTCAGGAGGCCCTTCCGTTCCAAGAACCGCCGCTTCTTGACAAAATTTTGGTGCTTGGAATTCCCCTCTAAGGCCTTTTTCGGAGGAGGTTCCCCAAAATCCAGATTGAGGAGTAAGGTAGACATGAAGACAGTGGATGCGAGCAGAGCAGCTTACAGATGAAAGGAGAACAGGGGACTCATTCTCTGCTGAATCCCACAGACTGGCATCTGGAGGTTTGTAGTACAGCCTGGGGAAGAAAGTGACCCCTGATAATTGAGCCCACAGGCCTAGAAGAAATGAGATACAACAGATCTCTGTAGGACTCAAGGGAGGAAAGTTGGACATCAGAGCAACCTCTGAGATAGAGGCGGAACGACACTGCAACGTGACATGATGGAAGGAACGTTGGTCTGAGTCAGGAAGCCTGGATTCTAGCGAACCCCAATTCACTACCCATATGGTCTTAGGAAGGTCATTCCCCCTCTTTTGGTCTCAGTCTTATTTGCAAACTGAGGGGGTTGTAGGGCCCACCATAGTTCGAACTCTCTGTGCGTCTGGAAAACCAGAATAGGAGAGCTTTATAAAGCTTTGCCCAGGTAGACAGCGTCCAAGCATCCTCGAAAGCAGGAAGCAGCATGGCATAAACGACCTCTAGATTACCCAGGTATACCAGGGCAGGACGCATGAATAGAGATACAAATCTAGGCACCCCTTTTCCTCGGCTCCAGGTGGGGGAATCTCACATGCACCTCACGCAAGTCTTTCCTTCTCCCAAGAAAGGAGCCTTGACGCCATATACTAGCAGTGGGGGAAATCAGGCTCGAGGGAGCCCACCCCGGCGAGCACACTGTGACGGTCCCCGCCGCGGAGACTGTGCCCTGTTCGGCCTGGCGCTCACATACCTACCTCCTAGACGGGCTCCGCTAAAACCGGAAGCGTCCGGAGCCGGATGCGGAAATCGGTGCGCGTCGACGAGGCCCGGGACGGCAGGCGCGGGGGTTGGAACGAGCTGGGGGCCGGCGCCCGCGCGCCCGCAGCGCCCCTACCTCCGGAAGCGAGGCCAGGGATTCGGAGTGTGTGAGGATCGGCAGCGGCGGCGGCGGTGGGGGCGGTGTGGGTGGGGGCGGGGGCGGGATGCGCTCCCCGGCCCCTCTAGCCCCGTGGAGGTACAACTCGAAGGTGTAAAGAAGCCGCGACCAACTGGAACTGAAGTGTGCCGAGGGTCCTGGACCTCACTTCCGGGAGAGGCGGAGCATGTACAGGAAGAGGCGGTATCTGGGACTTTGCCCGCCCCTTCGTGGCTCCGGACACGCTTCTGTGGCGTCATTACGCTGTCACCCCGTCCACCTGCCTCCTGCGCTGACCGCTTAGCGCTGTGAGACGTCGCGACCTGTGACGTCATGCGGGCGCCTCATATCTTCAACTCCAGAATGGGATCCTGGAAAGGCAGTGTCTGGCGCCTGACCCGAAACCTTTGCTTCCCGTCCCGCCTGCAGAGCTGAACCCAGCCCGGGTTCTCTACTGGCGTGGTAGTGATCGTGGATCCCTCATCGCGTTCTCGCATTCTGCTCCGACTGAACCCCAGGATGCCGGGCGTCTCCGCCCGGGGACTCTCTCTGGAGGAGAGGAGGCAGCTAGCTGTGAAACTCACCCGTGTCCTGGCGCTCTACCGTTCCATCCTGGATGCCTACATCATCGTGAGGCCTCGGGGGTGTGGGCAGGGTGTTCCCGGGGCAGGTGTTGGTCGTGTGTGGTTGGCTAGGTACCCACGACAGGGAGACAATCTGGAGAGTTGGTCTCTGATCTCGTTTATTCTATAAGTTTCAATCTTTTGTCTGTACACAAAGGGGTTAAAACTGGGGTGACCCTTTTCTTTTTCAGCTGACATAAATATTAATATTTCTAATATCTAGGGTTTTCAAATCTTCCCAAATCCAAGGTAATAAAATGCATGAATATGGGAGCTATGTGGCAGCCACGTTGAACTCCGCTTGTAGGAACATGTGAGGATGTTCATTCATCCAAGCTTTGAATAAACTGTTTTTGTGGTATAGTGGACAGTTCCAGGTTTGGAATTAGACAGACTAGACTAGAATCCTGCCTCCCCTACTGTTTCAGCCTTAGGCATTTTTTTTTTTTTTTAACCCCTAACCCTGGTTTCCTTGGCTTTAGAATGGATCACTGTCTGAAGGATCACTATGAAGAATAAATGATAATGTATAACAGTTGTTACAGACCCCAAACCCAGAAGTCATCCTTGACTCAGCTCTTCCCTTCACTGATCCACAATCTGATCCTTCAACAAGTCCTGTTGAAGCCACCTCCAGAATAGATAATCAAATTCATCCAGTTTTCTCCATCTCCATTGCTACCACGTTGGGCCAAGCCACCATCATTTCTCCCCTGGACTACTACTGTAGCTTCCTAACTGATGTGCGTTTACTTCTGCCCCTCCATAGCCAATTCACAGAACAGACAGACTGATCTATTTAAAATGTAGCTATAAAGCCCTGCATGATCTAGCCCCCAGTGCCTCTTCATCCCCATCACATTTCATCCTCTCCCATATTCACTGTACTTCACTTATGCTGGCCTGATTTCTGTTTCACAATACGGCAGACATCTAGGCCTTTGCACTTAATGCTTTGCCTGGGATGCTTTTCCTCCACAGTGAAGCAAAGAGCAGAATGGTTAAGAGCAAGGACGCTAGAGTTGAACTGGTTTCAAATCCCAGCTCTGCTATTTACTAGATTGTTTATTTGGGCAAGTTACTTAATTGCTGTGCCTCAGTTTCCTGACCTGTAAAATGGGAGATAATAATAGTACTTACCTGATAGGGTTGTCTTGAGGATCAAATGTATTAATACATGTAAAACGTTTAGAACAGTACCTGACATATTGAAGTATTATGTCTTTGCTAATACCTGTATTTTCTTTACATGCCTGATTCCTGTTCATCATTCACGTCTTTCCTCATCACACTATCTAAAGTAATCCTCTGCCACCCTCTCTATTTCATTAGTGTTTAATATTATCTGAAATTACTTTTTTATGTAAACTCAACAAGAGCAGGAATCTTGTCTGTTTCACTGTTGTATCCCCGGAGCCTAAAACAGTGCCTGGTGCATCATCAGAGCTCCAGAATTTGTGTTGAACAAATGAATGAATAAACACACAAGCGTCTGGCACATATAATAGTAGGTTACTAAGCGGTAGCGCACTATTGCTGTGTGTTAGTTAGTGTGGTGAGTGCTGGGGATGAAGATGTGGAGAAGATACCATCTTTGCCTTTTAAGAAATTCAGTTGAGTGGAGAAAACAGACATCTAAGTTGGGAAACTGCTAAAAGCCGAGGTGTATGCAGAATGTAGTCTCACCACGGAGGAAGGAGTGGTCAGCCACTGAGGGAAACAGTGGTGGGGGCGGGTCGTGTGGCTGGAGCAAGAGGTGACTGGGATGAGCAGAGGTTCTTGCTGGTTGCAGCCAGTGGCCCTGTGCGGCAGCAGTGCTGGGAAGTGGCCAGAGATAAGGTGGGAGTTACAAGTGGGGAGGGAAGAATAGGACTGGTAGTAGTCTGCTGATGGCTTCTTCCCATCTCCTGCAGGAATTTTTCACAGACAACCTGTGGAGCACGCTCCCTTGCTCATGGCAGGAAGCACTGGATAGACTGAACCCCCCACAGCTGGCCACACTGCTACTGGGGATGCCTGGGGAAGGGGAAGTGGTCAGGTATGGGCAAGAGGGGCCCTGTTCTGGGGGACTTTGGCACTGAGCCCTGCAGCTAGCCATTGTTCAGAGTCTCACAAGGGCTTCCTTGGCCCCGGGGTTGTAAATTGGTGCACTGAGGCTGCGATGGGACTTCACTGGTGGCCTGGCTGGGCTATCTCAGGTACAGGTCGGTGTGGCCACTCACCCTGCTGGCCCTGAAGTCCACAGCCTCTGCCCTGGCTTTTACCCGGACACCTGGATTCCAGACCCCTTCAGAGTTCCTGGAGAACCCCAGCCAGAGCTCCCGACTGACACCTCTGTTCCGGAAGCATGTCAGGCCCAAGAAGCAGCATGAGATCCGGAGGCTGGGAGAGGTGAGATGGCTGGGGGCATAGGTGGTGTCTGGGAGCCCTGGGACTTGTTAAGCCCGTGGGGTACAAATATGTTGCCTCTTTCCTCACATGCAGGATCAAGGCCCTAGAAGGCCCCTGCCTTGGCAGACACCCTATAAATCATATCTAAATGCTGGTATTTTTTTCCTCCTCTTACTGGGCTGATTGGTGGCTCTGTCTGGATCACTGTCTTATTCCTCTTCTTCCATTACCACAAGCTGCTCATGGAGGGTTCACAACAGGGCTCGCTCTCCTTGTTCTGTGGGGGAGGTTGAACCCCTGACCCAAGGGGAACAAGGAGAGCGGCCTGAACCTGGTGTCAGTGCCCACCTCCCCCCCGCCCCCCATTTTGGTTTCCATATCTCTTGCCTCTTCCATGGTTCCCTCTGTACCCATCTTCCCCTGCCATCTTCTTTACGGGTGTTTGCCCCAGGAGTCAAGAACAATGGCCAGAAGACCTTTGCTCCCTCTTTCAGTTGGTGAAGAAGCTGAGTGACCTCACAGGTTGCACCCAGGTTGTGGACGTAGGCTCAGGCCAGGTGAGCCAGAAGCCTAACATACTATTCTTTTGAGTCATGGAGATAGAAAAGTGGGAAGGCAGGATATCAGGCCACAGGTCTAGGGAGGCAGGTGCTGAGGAGGGGTGGACCCAGGTGGGGCAGAATTTACTCCTTCTGTGGGGCCTGGGACCCAGGCGTGCAGGCCACTGACAGGGAGGGTGATGGGACAGGTCACTCAACAGCATTGTCTTTCCTCCTTCTCATGATGCCAGGGCCACCTCTCCCGCTTCATGTCTCTGGGGTTGGGGCTGCTGGTGAAGAGCATCGAAGGGGATCAGAGACTGGTGGAGAGAGCCCAGCGCCTGGATCAGGAGCTCCTGCTGGCTCTGGAGAAAGAGAAGAAGAGGACCCCGCAGGTACGCCACCCCTTCCCGCAGCCGGGACTGCAGGAGCAGGGTCTGCTGGGCTGGAATCGAGCACCGAGGCTGAATTCCCACTTCCAGGTTTCTCAGCTGGAGGTGGTGTGGTCCTTATTTCTTCTCCCTAAAGCCTCCCCACATCTCCAAGGCACTTTCTAGGTCACAGAGTGCTTTCCACACTGATATGTCCTAACAGCAGCCTGTGAAATGATCAGGCAGGTATAAGACTCATATCACAAATGAGGAAACAGGCTCAGAAATGAAAAGGTTGGCAAATTGCTGATAGACCCCAGTTCATCCTGTCTCTTCATTAGTGGCCCAGCTGTCTCCTGTGCTTCAGCTTCTCTCCCACTTCCCTCCTTGGGAAGGAACACAGATCCCTTCCTGCAGCCTGAGGTGGCATCAGCAAACCGACTTCCCACCTGCCCGTGTCCTTCCCTGCCTCCACAGGTGGTCCATGCTGGCCCCCGCCACCCCCCTCACCACGTGGTTAGGTGGGTGGACCCCACAGCTCTGTGTGAGGAGCTTCTGCTTCCACTGGAGCCGGCACCTCAGGGTGGGGCCCGCCTGCTGCTAACAGGCCTCCATGCCTGTGGGGACCTGAGTGTAGCCTTACTGAGACACTTCTCCTGCTGCCCTGATGTGGCAGCCCTGGCCTCCGTGGGCTGCTGCTACATGAAGCTGAGTGACCCCGGTGGCTACCCGCTCAGCCAGTGGGTGGCCGGGTTGCCTGGCTGTGAACTGCCCTACAGGCTGCGGGAGGGGGCCTGCCATGCCCTGGAGGAATATGCTAAGCGGCTGCATAAAGCAGGTCCTGGCCTCCGAACCCACTGCTATCGCGCAGCGCTGGAGACTGTCATCCGCTGTGCTCAGCCCGAGCTCCGTCGGCCAGGCGTGCAGGGGATCCCCCGGGTCCATGAGCTCAAGATTGAAGAGTAAGGTTCGGGGAAGTGGTGTGTGTGGACGGGGCATCACCAACTAGAGGTCACCCACCCTCATTTGTTAGTATGTCCTCCAGAAAATCTCAGAGCGCACAGTAGAGTAATTTTGAGTCCTCTGACTGGGAAGCTCCTTAAAATTCATTTAAAGGGGATTTATCACTTTTTTATCAGAAGACTTTATCAAAGAAATAGAAAGTTTTAAAAATGCTAAAAATATGGCTATGTAACTGGACAGAACTGGCTGAAAATAAATTTTTGGATTCACTCATTTGTTCTTAAAAGCGTGTACTAGTGTGGCAAATCAAGCGAAAAGTTGGAATGAAGTTAGGCATAGGCCAAGTTGAAGCGGGAAGTGGAGGAGTCCCTAAACACGTCTTGCTGTCTTTGGCTGGTTCCGCAGATACGTGCAGCGGGGGCTGCAGCGAGTGGGGCTGGACCCCCAGTTGCCCCTGAATCTGGCTGCCCTTCAGGCCCACCAGGCCCAGGAGCACCGTGTGGTAGCCTTCTTCAGCTTAGCCCTCCTCCTGGCCCCACTGGTGGAGACACTGATTCTGCTGGACCGGCTGCTGTACCTGCAGGAGCAGGGTGAGGGTGGCCTACAGGGGGACCAGGACCAAAGGGGCTAGAGTGCTGGGGCTCTTCCTCCAAGCCCCAGCCCTCACATCTGCTGAGACTGGGTTCTTCACTCTGTGACTTGAACCACCTGCTTCAGAATCACCAGTGGGGTGGGAGATTCCTCCTGCATCAGCCTCTGGAGAGTACATCCCCAAGGTGCATTTTCAGCAAGCCTCTCAGGCTGAGAAGCTACAATGAGTACACAAAGTCAGGGCCTCGGGCACCCATGCTCCTTATAGAGAACTGGGTCTCCTTGGTCCCCCTGGAGCCTCCCCCCTGGGAAGAGGGGCTGTGCCCACAGGCTGTGCAGGAAGTGGCTGAGCGAGGGTTTGGTTCATGTCTTTCTGAGTAGCCCTGCTTTTCTCCCAGGCTTTCATGCTGAGCTTCTGCCCCTCTTCAGCCCTGAACTCTCTCCCAGAAACCTGGTTCTGGTGGCCACCAAGACACCCCTGGGTCAGGCCTTCTCTGTCCTGGAGACTGAAGACAGCTGACAAAGCCTGAGGAAGGGCACATCTCGGATCCCATCTGGAACCACCCAGCACTAGTGGGTGGCAGAGTCTGCACGTCCTCACCCAGAGCACCAGCACCCTGTGTCCTTCCTGGAATCTTGGTCCCTGCAAGTCTTCAGTGTCATACCCTTTTTTTCCCTCCATGTGTTACAGAATATTATGTAAGATTTCATTTTAATTTATTAGAAAATCAAAATCTTTATTTCCCTTGCATTTCTCTAAGTATAGAAAAGCACAAACATGCAGCCTCTCTACTGAGGTCCCGCGGAGGCCATACATTTAAGTCTAACCCCCCCAGCCCCCACTGTTCTCCGTAACGGGGTTTAGGTGGTATCTTCTGTTACTCGACAGTCTCCACGAAGGGAACCGTTTCCTCCCTTTGGTCCCATCCCAGAATCCATAAGCCCTTGGGAGGGCCTTCTTAAGCCTGGCTAATTTCCATCCAGATTCTGTCATATCAGGTCAGATGCTCTCACCTGTCAATCTCTAAAACCGGGGTACATTGGGATTGGGGGGTACTAGTCTACCAGAAGACAGCAGTTGCACACAGAGGAGGACTCACGGCTCTTTATTGGAGTCTGGAGAAGAGGTGACCCCAGCCTCCAAGGCCAAGACAGCAGTGGGGGAGAAGCTGCTCTTCCCAAGCTCAATACCAGTAGACTTTCTTGTGTTTCCGGGTCTCCTGGATCCCCATTGCCTCCATCACCTCCTCCTCCAGTGTCTTTAGACGGGGCACATAGGTTCTTTCGAGAGCATCCTCCACTGATGTGTCTTTGGGGCCATCTGTTGGGCCAGAGGAAACGGGGTAGGTTGGAGGGCGTGCTGGCCTTAGTCTGCGTAACATGCTCCCCTCTCCCCATCTTCCTGCCCCTCACCCAGCCTCACCAGTCCATGTTTCAGGGACAATTCCATCAGCTCTGGGAAATTCAGGTTTGGGGATAATCCTTCCTGATCTCGTGGAGACCCGTACTCGCTCTCCCGCTTCCGTGAACCTCCATTCTATCTCAGTGGGTTTTCTGGGGGATAGAAGAGGTGAGTTCAGCCTGGAAGCCAGGTCCCCTGCTACCTTCCTCCCCAAAAGTAGAGTCAAGGGCTGGAAACACCAAGGGCGCACCACCTTGCTTCTCTGCTACCTCTACTGGAGTTACCCACAGGACGGTCATGCCCATGATATGGCCCCTCCCAATTTCCAGAGCATCCAACCCACCATCTTATCTGTTGATACTGACCTGACTTCCATTTCCATTGGAGAAATGGGCTGCCCCCCCCTGCTGTGTTCAAAACCTGGGTGGACTCAGAGGATAGAAAACCCTGACTAGAGCCCCATTTGCTTGCCTGTCCACAGGATCCACAAGTGTGACTTGGCGGTGAAGCAGGGGGGCTTCACTAGGGATCATGGTTCCCCGGAAATCCTTGGTCTTGCCAATGTAGCGGTAATGCTGTCCAAGAGAGAAGGAATATCAGAAACCAAGGGATGTGAAGGAGATTCCTACCTAGTGCTCAGAACATTAAGCCCAAGTTCAAAAGTAGAAGGGTTCAGGCATACCACCATCTCCTCTTCCAGTCTCCCGCTTCCCATCACTGCTCTTAATGAAGAGGGACAGATGGGCCAGGCTTCTTGACCATCCCCATCCTCCCCCTTCACTTACTGTGTTCAGCCCCTCCAGGACAACCCAGTTTCGCTGCCGGATCACTTGAACCACTCTGCCCTGCTTCCCGGCATCCTTCCCTTCTAGGACTTGCACCTGTGGGAAGACAAGAGTCAGGGAGGGGGACTGCCGCCTAAGAGCAATCCCACCATTCTCCCTCCTGTCTGAGGTTCTCACCATGTCCCCACAGAACAGATGCCAGTCTTCATCAGAGATAGGTTCCACAGCCACTGGGCGCCGCCTGGTCCCGGGAGGGTTCTTCCTCTTGTCTGCCATTGAGCCTGGGCGGCTCATCCCATAGCGGTAGTTGGGAGGCAGAGTGACCTTGGATGCCATGGCCAGCAGGGCAGAGAGACGCATGGCTGGAGGCTGTCAGAAAACCTGTGTTATCTAATTTAAGCCTTAGGCCAAACCAATGAAGAAAGTGATGAAGAAAGTGCTGTTAATCGTTTAACAGATAACAATGAAGCCTCAATTCAAAGTACAAATAAAGTGCACTGTGATGGCATAAAGCGCAGGGGACTGGAGTCAGAGGACCTGGGTTCCAGCCCCTGCTCTGCCATCATCTTACTGTGTGCCCCCAGGCAACTTAACTTCTGAGCTTCAGTTCCATCATTCATAAACTGTACGGGGGTTCTTGGTGTCATTTAAATTATTTTAAAATACTGACAAAGGTATAGAATAATGTGAACAGTATAATCCTCTTTGGATAAATTAAAAATACATATTCCAGTATAGGCATAGGTACTTTGGGGAAAGAAACAAGAAACAAAGTACTTGCTTCTGGGGAAAGGAACTGTTTGGGAGAGCTGTTCGTTTCCATTTTGTCCTTCCGCCATGTACATTAAAGGGGGAAATCCTGCTGGTGTAGTGGTTAAGAGCTATGGCTGCTAACCAAAAGGTCGGCAGTTCAAATCCACCAGCCGCTCCTATAGGGTCAGAATCAACTCAACAGCAACGGGATTTTTTTGGTACATTGTACATTAAAAAAAAAAAAAAAAACTAGTTTATCTGAGCAGTGAGATGTTGGATCGATTCATCCTAACTCATAGTGACCCCATGGGGTTTCCAAGGCTGTAAATCTCTACGGAAGCAGGATGCCACATCTTTCTCCCATGGAGCCTCTGGTGGTTTCAAACCACTGACCTTTCAGTTAGCAGTCAAGTGCTTTAACCACTGGGCCACCAGGGCTCCTAAATCATACAAATATATACACGGTAAAATCTGAGAAAGCCGGAACCTGTGTAAAGTGGAAACCTGTCAGAGAAAAAAAACTCAAATATTTTCCACAAAAACGATTGATAGAGACGTGGAAAACTTTTGTCAAAGGCGGAAAACTTGAGAGACTCAGAAAAACAGGGCAGTTCCGTCTGTTCCAGCTCTCACAGGTTTCACTACGTATATATGGCCTAATGTTATTTTGAATTAATGCTGGTTGACTGTAAGGTCTGTTTTTCTATTCAAAGTTTCGAGAGCACCACTATGTGACTAGACCTAGTGCTGGGAACTTCATTATTATTGGCATTTGATCTTCACAGGGCCCAGTCAGTGAGGTTGCCAACAGCAAGCGCTAGCATCATAAGGTCCGTTTTACAGACAAAGAAACCAAGACCCTGAGAGCTGGTGTGTCTTCCCCTAGTTCATACAGCTTGACAGGAACAGGGCAAATCTTGAGGCCCAAGCTTCCTGCGCAATTGCTGCCAGAAGTCCCTCAACCTCAGCCACTCTAGCTCTGAGGCCCTGGGAGATCCCAGAGGCTAGTCCAGAGCAGAGCAGCCTGCACGTCCCCTAGATCTTCACCTTCTTCTTCTCCAAACCCTGGAGAAGCTGGAACCCCTTCCGCAGTGTGGCTTTCAGGGGGTGCTCTAGAGCCGCCGTGCGTCTTCCCCCTCCGGCCCCGGCTCCAAAGGCTTCCCCCGCCCGCCTCATCCTGACACTGCCAGGCCCCAGCAGTCTTCAGCAACCACCCGCGCCAAACTTCCGGTACAGGGCCACCCCAGGAAGGCGACTGAGCAACCCGTTAAAAAAAAAACAACAAAAAACCGTTGCCATAGAGTCGATTCCGACTCATAGCGACCCTATAGGACAGAGCAGAACTGCCCCATAGAGTTTACCAAGGAAAGGCTGGTAGATTCGAAGTGCCGACCTTTTGGTTAGCAGCCGTGGCTCTTAACCACTACGCCACTGGACTGAGCAACAGACACGGAAAAGAAAGTCCCTTCCGCCACCCGCCTCCCAGGGGAGCCCTAGGGCTGGAACACCTTCACGACGCACAGCCCTCACCTCCGCTTCCCGCTGCGCTACGGAGCCGCTGCTCGTTACTTCACAGCGCGTTGGACCTCAGCCCCGCCCACCCCTGTCCCTCGGCTTCCTGGGAAATGTAGGCTAAGTGCAGAGCGGAAGCTCAACTGTTAATCTGTCTTCTCTGTATATTGGGAGCTGTAGTCCGCCGCTACGAAGCAAGCTGGAAACAGGAAATTTGACCGGGGTAGGAAATCAAGGAAGCATAGTAACACCGTGAAGCACGTCGGGAGTTGAAGGCTGCCGCACCTGGCACGTTCCCGCGCATGCTCTCGGTGGAGGCGACTGGGGATTGTAGTTCCTGGAGAAGACGGCTCCATTTTCTAGGTGGTTATGGTTTCCTGTTCAAGGCAAAGGGCCTCCCTTCCAGCGAAGACTGCTGACCATTTTCTCCCCGCCCTTCTCTGGTGGAGGGGGCCAGAACAGATTCCAAAACTGTCATAGGACTTCTAGAGAAAGGGATGAAACGCGGGCCCTTCCAGTGCTAGTCTGTCAGTCACAAAATGTCAGATCTGGAAGGAACCCTAGGGATTATCTAATCCAGTCATCCATTTAAGGGATGAAAAGGCTGAGCAGGCTAAGAGAAACTTGCCCCAGATCACCGAAGCAATCAGTGGCAGGCTCAGAATCAGAGTTGAGGGAGTACTGGGGGGAATCTACCCTACCGACACCTCCCCCGGCCCGGCCATCACCATTTAAAGGGTGGCAAGCATCCCTAGGTCGGCCCTTGGGGTCAAAGTTGTTTCTACCACCAGCCCAAACATTCCCATTTCCATGGTTATCTCAGGCTGTGCCTGATACTAGCACCCTCCCACACACCGATCCTTGTGACTAAAAAAAACCAAAAAACCCCACCTCTAGGTGCTGATGGAGTGTTAAACAGTGGCTGGGCAGAAGAAGAATGAATGGTGAGGTATATTCTGAGACTCTGCCTTCATCTGCAATTCTGAATTTCTAACAGACTGGGAATGAAAGAGACTGGCACCCCCACTTCAATCTGAGATGATGTGCAAATCATTTGTATTCCTTTCCCCCAAGCCCCCTCTTCACTTAACCAATACACCCTCCAAAGAATCAGTCAGAATCCAATATAGTAATCAACGGGTTTTATTTTCCTAGAACTGAAATTGTCTACGGTTCTCAGAGCTAAACTTTTCCAAAGCTACAGTCAGCAATTTTTCATCAGAGCCCAAGGGAGGGGGGCAAGGGTGAAAGATGAGACGCAAGAGAGGCATAGAGAGACCACTAGGAAGAGGCTGGGAGAGGGCATTTATCTCCCTCTGTCCTCTCAGAGGTTATAAATCGGATCTGTTGACAACACTGAGGGGACCAGGTGGGATTATGTGGATGGGAAATGACACCAGAAGGAACACCAAAGCCCCAGCTAGAAAAAGAAAGTCATCAAGCCCCAAACAGATGGGGAACCTCCCAGTGCACCTTAGAAATGAGGGCAACGGTGAAGGAGATAGGAGCAGAGTGGGGGCACACGAAGGGGTAGGGGGATCTTTAAAATTTTTTTTGTAATTTTCTTTTATTAAAAACATTTCCTAAAAAATGTGTCTTTTCCTTTATGCCTGGGTAATTTATATGACTGTCGGCTGGCCTTGAGTGCTGTGGGGAGAGGCAAGAGGGCAGCTAGGTTCTCCCCAGGGTATCTTATCTCTGGCCCCAGAAATTAAAGGGAGGCAGATGCTCTTCACTCCCACCCAAGCTGGGTGAAGTCAACCCTTTCAGATCACAGGTTCTTGGCCCAAACAACTTGGAAGCCCCCAAATCTTCTGATGATAAACTACAACTCCCAGAACTCCCTGGGTCAGCAAAAGAAAGAATGGGCATCACCTATTGGAAGGGAGCCCATCCCCCTAAGCTGTCCCACTTTCCCTGAATCTAGGCAGCTGGGATAATAGGCGTGGGAGGAGACAGGTGCTCAGGAAGATGCCACCGTCTTGTCCTCCACTTCTACCATAATTTGAGGATTGTCCCGCCCAGGCCCCCAAGAAGCCCACCCTGTTGTTCATCTTCCAGCCCTTTCACTCCTACCCCTGATCCCAGCCCAGAGTTTCAGAATGCCTGGGGGAGAGGGGTGTCAAGAGGTGGGAAAACCTGGTCCAGGCCCCAAGTCCTGGGAAACAGCTCTAGGCAGGGAAGGAACATGGCCTTATCTCATCCCAGGGAGCAGAGGGCATGGCCCTAACTCAGATCAGAGGGATGTGGGGACATGAAGGCGAGGGCCAGGTTGCCTGCCCCATCCACGTCAATCTCCAGGGGCCAGGCTTAGAGGGGGGAGAGTGAGTGGAAGAGGGGAATGGGTTGGGGCAGGGACGGGGTTCCCAGTTTGCAGGCCATGGCCAGTTTCCCCAGTAGCACCCAGACAGCAGCAGGAACAGGGTGGGGGCTCCTCTTGAAACATTGGTGGCTACAGGCTGCAGGGGAGGGTTGGAGGGGAGAAGGGTTAATGGTCTGGCCTTGGCCTCGCCTTGCCCCAGCCAGTGCCAGTCTCCTGTGAGAGCCCACCCTGCCTCCCGAGAGGCTGACCACTGCAGGCCCTCCTTGTCTCTGAAGGTGCCTGGGCCCTCCCCAGCCCAGCCGCCAAGTGGGCAGGCGGCTCACTCACCTCTCATGATCTCTGATGCCTGGGGCCTCAGCATCTTCCTTGGCAGCCTCTTCTTCCTCCTCTTCCTCTTCCTCCTCCTGAGGAGGCCCCCGGCCAGAGCCGGGCTCAGAGGGCGTGCTATTCTTCTCCATCTCTACGGGAAGAGGCCTCTCACCCTCCAAGGTGCCCGACTCCTTCTCCTCCTCTTCGGGGTCTTCGGCCTCCTTGGGACGTTTTGGGGAGTCCTAGGTAGGATTGTCAGAAACAAGGTGGGCTGAGTCTGGAGAGGGTGGAACGCCAGCCACCTACCCGTGACTCCCACTCCTCCTCCAAGGCTCCTTCCTGGGCTGATACCCACAATCCCTCTCCAGCCTTAGAAGCTCAGATGCCTTCTTCAGACGGGGATTCCTCAAGATTAGGGGCTGTATATATCTCAGACCGGGGACTGCCTAAAGTTGTAGCTGTCTCCTTCCTCAGACTGGGTGCTCCCTAAGTCAGTGCCTGCTCTGGTGGGGATGCCACCCAGAAAATGCTCCAGGGGGTCCAGGCTCATCACAGGGGACAGTTACCTCCAGCAGGTCCCCTGTTCTCCTCTTCAGTGTCCCCTTCTCATTCTTCTCCTTGGTTGGCTCATCAATGACCAGCTTCCCCTCCTCATCACTGCTGCCCTCAGCATTCCCCTTCTTGTCACCATCACCCTCTGTGGCCTCGGGCTCGGGCTCGGGCTCAGGCTCTTCCACGCGTCTCTTTTTCTGGGAGGACTGCGGCAGAGACAGCAGGGGCTGAGCGGCACTACTGGCATCACGCTGGGCCCCCACCCCAGGCCCCTCCCTCGGCCACTCACTCCTTCCTTTTCCCACCTCACCCCCGCCCCCACCCAGGTGCCCAGTCTCACAAGTGATTTGAGACCCACCTCTGTTGGATTAGCCCTGGGGCAAACCCACTGGCCGGGCAGGCAGGGCTCTGTGCAGGAGGGGGGAGGGCTGGAGCAGGAGGCAAAACCTCGGGTCAACTTCTCCCAAAGGGAGCTGGGACCCTATCCCCGCCAACCCCCGCCCCCCACCCTCCCGCCTTGTCCTGCCCGGCTCACGAGCACCTCCTCCTGGAAGTCTTTGTGGAGAATCAGGGCCACATCCTATACTTATACTGGGCCCAACAAAAGGCCTATTCCCACTTACCGCCGCCATCCTGTTCTTGCCCCCGGGGCCGCTAATAGTTGCCCATAACCACATCTATACCACATACCCACAACCAACCCCACCCCCTCTTTCAGGAAGACACCCCCAGACAGGCTCCTACCCCAAAAGCCCTGGTGTTTCTGAGCCTTGGTTCCTGAAGACTAAGCATCCTCTGTGGGTCTTGGGCTCCCGGAGCCCATGATGGCCACACCTGCTTTCCAGGGGGTCTCTGGGGGCAGATGAAGACTCACCTGGTAGCCAGAAGCCTTGACGGTAGGGTTGTTCTCGATCTCCCACAGCCCCTCGCTGAACCCTTTCCTCTTGTTGGGCTTGCCAAACTTCTCCTTGGACTCTTCATAAGGGAAGAGGTCTTTGGGGCCCAGGAATGCCCTGGTGAGAGATGGGAGACTGTGCTCTCTAGCGCCTCACTGCATCTGAGCAGGGACTTCCTCCCCAGCACTGCCCCACAGGGGAGGGACACCAGCACCACCTCTCTCCCCAAGTGCTCATCCCATGGTCCTCCCCACCTATGTCCCCTCTGGCCCCTCACTCACGTTTCGTGGGTCCCGAAAAAAAAGACTTGGTATTTGTTGGCTGTTGATTTCACTGCAGCTTCAGGCATCTCGTCAATCTGGGAGTAAGATGAGGGAAATAAGTGTAAGCTGGGGTGCTGAGGCCACGAGTCTGGGGCAGGCGGCTGACCTCTAAGGCACATTTGTATAAAACCAGACTGGGAGGGACCCAGGAGATCACTAAAGTGATTTTTGAGCTATTTTTAGCAGTGGAACCTTTGTTGAAATGAAGTCAGACATGCAAGACCAACCAACATCCAGGAGCCACCCCATCTCATTCACAAACCAAACAGCATCCATTCTGCCTCCCAATATGTCCAGAACCTCTCCATAAAGCTCCACGTCTTTGCTGACCCAGGTCCAACCACTGTCCTCTCTTGCCTGAACTAAAATTACAGCCTCCATCTCTTCCCTCAGTCTCCATCCCTGCCCATTACAACCCATTGTCCACACTGCAGCCAGAGTGCCCCAGCTTGAAATCTTCAATGCCTTTTCACGAATCTAGGGTCCACCTCTTTTCTACAATGTCAGGGTCTGAATCTCAACACCACCACCAATACCTGTATGACCTTGGGCAAGGTACTTAACCTCTCTCTGCCTCCATTTCCTCATCTGTGAAATAGATAACCATAGCACTTAAGTCATGGGCTTGTGAGGATTAGACGACCTTAGCGTGGTTTACTGTGAAGTCCTACACAGGTGTTAGCTATCCTCTCCTCTCCCAGGCCCGTGCCCTTCATGCTCTCTGCTCTGGCCACTGTTGATCCTTGTGTCTCCCATACTAACTCCTGATCATCACTTCCTCCGGAAAAGCTCCCCCATCTCTCCCAACCCAGCCAGCTCCCCAGACAAAACTCTCTCCTGGTACTTCCCGCAATTCCACTTTTATATTTATTCATATTATCATTTGATTAAAGTTTATGTGGATGATACCCACCCTGAGATCTGAGCCTGAGTCTGTTTTTTTATCCCCAGCACAGTGCTGAGCGCACAGTAGGTGCACAATAAATATTTGCTGAATGAGTCTATGAAACAGCTAAGTGCAGTCTGCTGTGGTTGAAGCAGAGGGGTGAGAACAAGGAACTGCCCATTCAAGACCCCTCTCTAGTAGCAGCCCGAAAAGGTTTGTGGGGGACACTCTGAAAGCCACTGATGTAGTCAAACTCTTGCATTTTACAGATGAGAAAACTGAGGCCTAGAAAAGGAAAGTGATTTGTCCAGGATAACAGGGTGAGGATGGGGGCCAAGTCTCAGACCTACATCTCCTCACTTGAGCCCTGCCCCACACTGTCCTGGGGGCCTGAGGAGTGCTGTGGGGGAGGAGGTGAGAGGTAGAGGTCAGGGAAATGGTGGGAGCAGCAGCAATGGCCCAGCCAGCCTCTCCCAGATCACCAGATCAGGCCCTGGGAGCCCAGAATAAGTTGAGCTGCAGGAGGGGGAAACTACAACTCCCAGCAACACTTGCAGCAGCCCTAGCAGCCTAGCTTCCCGCCGGACAGAGGCCAGGTGGCCATGTTGACTGGGGGCCCCAGGCACAGACAGGAGAGAGACAGACAGGCCAAGGCAGTGATTAACACACAGAGACGGACAGAGCGCCTGACTGGGGGCCTAGGGAGACAGAGAGACTGGGTGGTTGGGAATGAGCTGAGACACACCCAGCAGAGGGGGTGGGGGCCCTAGGCACGAATCTGAGGGACATCACGTTGCCCCAGACATGGAGACTTCAGGCTCCTGGACACTTCCCCCATTGCCCTGTGGCCTCTGGGGGCGGAGGTCCAGCCCCTCCCCACAGGAAGGCCAGGCACAAAACTGGGCCCTCTCCATGACCAGGAGACTCTGGGTGTGAGTGGAGGGGGTGGAAAGGCTCGCTGATCCCCCCACAAACAGGATCTCCATCGCCATGACAACCCAACCCTGCCCCTGGGGCCACTCAGCAACCAGGAATGTGACCGCCCCTCCCCCCAGGCCCTCCCTCTGGATTGAGGAGGAGGGGACACTAACCCACACCCCACCCCCAAGTCTGGAGTCTGGCACCTGGGTCCCTGGCTGTGCTTGAAACCACAGCCAGGGCTAGAGGGCTGGGCCCCTTCTCAGAAAGCCAGACCTGGGGTGGGTGGAGGGGCCAGTCCTTGGCCAGAACACCTGGGTCCTGTTACCAGCTAGTTCCCCACCCCCCTTCTCAGGGGGAAAGCCAAACACAAAATGAGAGCCTCCAGGGCTTAGAGATCCCAGGAGACAGGCAAATAACAATAATAGCAAAAGCCCTTCCCTAGGCCTCTCTTCTTGGTGGATCTCCTAGCACACACCAGGAACCAGGGGCGGGGGTGGGCTGTGTAGGGATCTAAGCATCTGAGGCTGGGAGTACAGCAGGGAACTTTGATCTCTGCCTTTTCAGTCCCAGAGCTGAGCCAGGGACTTAGCATGCTCGCAGTAAATGTGTGATGAAAGGGGAGAAACTGAGGCTCAGGAAAAGGGAGTGGGGCGGATGAAGGGCCAGAGATGAGGAGACATGAGGTTCGCTCAAGACACACAGTTGCTGCAAAGCACCTACCCGACCATCTGTCTCTCGCCACCCTAGCTTCCCGAGGAAAGCAGGCCCAGGAAACAGGGAGAGACACACGGTGTGGCAGGGGACCCAGGAGGCCACCAGCTGCCCAGCTCCAGGGGTAGGGGAGAAACAAAAGCATGGATGGGAATTAAAAATAGATGGAATGAGACACACCAGATAGACCTGCCCTTCTGACTTCTAGCCAAATAAAGGACGGGTCTAAGGGAACACCACAGTGTCAGGCCTGGGCAGATGGGCATCTACCCCCAAAGGGCCATTCCATCCCCTTGCATAACCTTGAGTGTAGGCACCTGTGGGTAAGTTTAGGAGAGAGGAGCCTTCACCTGAAAGAAGGGGAGAAACCCCTTCTGTAGTGGAACCTCCATGGCTCAAGCTACAAAGGAAATATCTTTTCTTGCATTTGGAAGAGCAGTTCTTCCTAGACATAGAAGATATGTGGTCTCAGGAGACCCCTGTACCCCCAATACAGACATACGTCTCCCAGGTGGTGCCTTTATATCCAGGCTGTGACTCAGAACGAGTGAGTCAAAGCTAAGGGGGTCAGGGTGGGGCCTGATGAGTGCTAGGGACCCCACTCCATCCCCTCCACTGGCCAACAAGGAAGGAGGCTCTGCTACCCCTTGGTCATTCCAGGGGTCCAGGAAAAGTTACTTCTCCCTTCAGGCCTGGGCCCACCCTTGCACCCCCACCTCAGGTCCTCTGCATTTGCTTGGCTCCATCAGATAGGCCTGAGCAGATGATACTCCCATCTTCCAGGAGCCCATGGACACCATTCGAGGTCTGAAGATGAACCTGAAGTTTTCAGGTGAGGAATAGGGGGAGAGGACTGAACACCTCTCCCCTAGCCTCAGCCCAAACACAGGCCCAAGATCACCTGCCCAGCACTTAGGAAAGCAAAGCCACGCTGGCTGCCAGCCAGGCTCTGACCACCACACCCAGGGCCGAGGCTCAACCTGACCCAGGAACAGGAAAATCTGGGGCAGGAAGACAGTTGGGGCCGGGAAAGTGTGGCAAGCCCAAGGGGCAGAAAAGAGGAGGAGGGAGGTGGTGCCTGGATGTGGGGGAGGGGCAGGAGGAAGACAGAAGGGTGAGGCTCTCTAGCTGCTCAGGTTTTCTGGGATTGTGAAACAGGAAGCAGAGAAAAAAGGAAGGAACTTGGGGGAAAAAATCCTTGAGACTTGGAGATTAATTGCTGTGCCTGGAGATCCCCCGGGAAGTTAGATGGGGGAAGAGGGAAAGGAGGCTAAGACAGAGTCACACCATCCTTCCAGGCAGGTCCTGCCTACCACAAGGCCCCTCTTGCTGGGCTCTCAAAGCACTGGGCCGTTCTGGTCTCACTCAGTCACCCATCCGCCCCAGCAGGGGACTGAGGAAGGAAAGCTCCCCAGAGCGGCTTTCATCATGGCTGAGGATTTTCGCCACCTATTAGATGGGGCCTTCAGCAAGGCTCCCTCCTGCTCCTCACCCATCTCATGAGGGGTCAGGACCCTCAGGTTCTGCCACTCTAGGAACTAAGACAGAGTCCAAGAAACAGTGAGGACACTCAGATTTGTCTGTTCTTTTGGGGCTTGAGGGGGATGTACCTGGGAGGTAACAGCCTTGGGTGTACCCCTCCCCCGAACTGTCACAATCGAGAGCCAGAGGACAGGCAAAGGGTGGGGCCCTATCTCTTAGGGATCCAGTCTGATCCCCTCCCCCAACCCTAACTTTATCTGAAAGGTCCAGGCCTCAACAGTGGAAGAGACTCTGCCTGCCCGTCACACCCTCTGTCCTGCAGGCTCAGGAGAGAAAGAGAAAATAAGAGTTATTCCCAGTCCCTGGCACTGCTCTCACTTCAGAGCACACCAGAAACCTGAGGATCTTGTTTACAGCACTACTGTGGGCCTTTCTGTGCCCCTACCCCTTTTCTCTCCTCCCTGATCCAGAAGAGGTTCCCTGAAACCCACATTCCAACTAATGCCCCCTCCCCAGGACTTAGCCTCACCTCTGGACTTTGCCCCACCCCCAGGAGTAGGGGCAGCACAGACCTGGGTTCAGTTCTTGCCCTGCCCATCAAGCCTTGGCATTTGGGCCAAGAAGTCAGTTGGAACAAAAGTGCGGGGTAAAGTACACAAGTGTTCACACGTCACACGCATACAAGGCTGTCCGTGGCTGCCTCCTCCCACTGCCCCCCAGCCTCCTAGGAGCCCCTGGAAGTTGGGAGAACCTGCTTCTTGCTCCATAATTCACTTCCATTCCAGAGGCCAGGCCTTACATTGTGTATCTGAAAGTTTCAGGAAACAAGGAGCTCAAGGTATGTGAGCTGAGGCACACTCCTCGGGAGTGTAGACAGAAGAATCTCCAGGGTTTTCTCAGGGTGGCCCCAATGTTGGCTTGACACTCTGAACTGGACCCAGGGGAGTCTGGGGCAACTTCCTAAGCTCAGAGCCGGGTCCTGGCAAGCTGAACAGTTACAGACTAACTCTGAGAAGAGCCACACAAAGCCATAAGGCAGTTCTCCTGCACTTGGCCCCCTCCCCCATAAGATTCCCTTCATCCACTTCTCTCTGCAATAGGATTTCACTCTAGGGAACTGACTCATGCCCCTACCCAATATGAAAGGCTCCTCTACACCAACTCTGAACTTAGTAGTCAAGGCACTGCCCCCTGTGACACCCCCATCTTTCCCCAATTAGCAACCACCGATCCTCTCTACTTAACCTGTCTCGATCCTTAGGGGAAATATGATGAACACACCAGACTTGGCTGTTGGGCTCCACCCTCCCACCTGGCCAGGTGGTGGCAAGGCGGGGGCCCAGGCCCCATATTGGCGGGCCGATCAACCACATGGCAGCCGTGCCGTTCTGGCGGGAGATGCTCATATCTGGTGGAGGGGAAGAGAAGCAACTCGGGACCCCCCACCCCCACCCCGCAAGAGACAGTCCGGATTGGACTTCCAAACCTCGCAGGGGCCCTGCCACCCTCGGTCTCAAATTTGAGTTGGCAAAATATGCAGGAGTATTTTTGTGGGGCTGAGAGATGAAGGGTTTTGGCGGATAATTTCCGAGCCCCTTCTTACGCCGCGCCCAACTACTCCTCGACCTTCCCAACTTCAGACCTCTTACGGACGCCCCAAACCAAAGTTTTCTAGAAGCGAACTCCGCTTCCATCTATCCCTCTTTGGGCTGGGATCCTTCCTAACCTTTTAACCTAAGGAAAGATGAGTATCCAGGGAGGGGGCGACAACCAATGAAGAAACTGGGTATCTCTAAGGGGGTCCCAGAGCGGGGAGGCGGCGAGGACTGGGGGGTGGGGTGGGAGGAGTTACACGACTGGCCCAAATCCAGGCTGCGCGCCCGAAACTGCCAGGAGTATGGGGGCTGGGGGCGGAACTAAGCACGCGGAGCCCGGCCGGGAAGTAACCGGCGCTCTCGGGTCCCCACGCCGCGCACACGCCTCTGCGCGCGGACGACGCACCGGCCAGGTGTTCGTTCCCCGCCCCCCCCCACCCCAGCCGCCGCCTCCACCGTTATGTAACTAGCGGGTGGGCTTGAAGGCGACAGGGAAAAAGTCCGGGACCCTGACTCCCCCTGCCCTTACGCCCGCCCCGCTCGGCGCGGAGCGCGAGTGCCCGCGCGAGTGTTATACAACCCTAACCCGGTGGGGACAGGGGGCGGCGGGCCGCGCTGCTCACCCGGGCCGGCCAGTGTGGGTAGCCCTTCATCTTGGCGAACACCAGGTCCCCGCATTTGTACTCCTTCTGCCGGTTGGAACGCGACATGGCGAGGCTCCGGGCACCCCGGGCTCCGCGCCGGGCCGGGAAGCGCGAGCCCAAGTTTGCGCGTGCGGCGTTGGCGGCGCCGCTCCGCTC